ATTGTTCCAGATTTAAAAAAACACTTCAAATCATGCAATAACATGTTATCAAACAAATATACATGTTATCAAACATCAATTAAACAATATAATCTAATACCCGAGGCTTTGATACCACTGTAAGTAATTGATCTACCATACGCAGCGAAAAACAAAAATTTAATAGGTAAATCAATTTCCTTTCTTGCCTAGATTCGAGTATAGATTATACTGTTTACATGTTTATAAACAAAAATCTGTATAAAGTAAATCCATTCAAGGATTAGAATACTTACATACGCTTGGAGGCTCCTTTGAATATCTCTGATTTCGGATAGGAACACTGTTCACAATTACTGTTCATTGTCTATTGTTCACGTGATTTTTTGCCAATTGATCCAAAGTAGGATTGCACTCAGGGAAGTCCACACGAAGATAATCCGCATAACCCTTGATTATTTTGCTAGAACAATCAAGGGCTTCAAGAATCAAGAAAGAAGAACAAGAAAAGTTTTCTTCTTGAGAGAGAGAGAGATAGGAGAACAAGAAAAGTTTTCTTCTTGAGAGAGAGAGAGAGAGAGAGGGTGGCTAGGGTTTTAATTGAATGAATAATTTCTAGTTTTAATTTTTAAGTTGCACTTATATAGTGTAACAATTAAAACCCTATTCCACTTAAGAATAGCCATGGGCTCCAACCCTAGTTCACCCTTGCAACCAAACACACTATTTATGGTATTTTAATTAATTAATTATTATTATAATTAAAATCAATTAATTTATAATAATATAATAACATTTAATTAATAATAATAATTCATTTAAATATATACAGAGATGTATTTAAATATAATCTCACTAATTTAATTTTAATATTAAAATTATATACAAGCAACAACCTCAGCAAATTTAATTGTACTATGAGATTAGCAAAATACCATTTCATCTTGAAAGACGAAAATACCCTCCTCACAAATTGATTCTTAAATTATCTTCTAAGTGTGTAACCCGTAGGCTCCTTATCATATCGGCAATAAGTAGTATCGCGATTAACACCAATTAATCGTCTCACTATACACAGACCAAGATTGGCCCCTAGCAAGGCATCATGGCCACCCGATAGATTCGGATTCAAAGAAACCGTAGCTTGTCAACAGTTTGGTTACCGTGCAATAAAATCCTTTCATCAACTGTTATCTCATCGAGACTGAGGTACAGAAATAGCGTCAACCTTAGATATCCTCGACATGTTTGTATTCAGTTACTGGACCAATGACAAGAATATTAAATTGGATTGAGCATCAACTCAATCCCATTGTGGCCACAGATTTAGTGTCATTGCCATTTACTGAATTACCCAATGAAATAACTTCTCCCGTAACTAAGAGTGATGAATCCTTTGTCAATCCACCATAGTCTCGATACACTTCTCAATATAGTCAATCACTACCATAGTGATAGCTCTGAATAGAACTATGTTAGGTTAGAGTCAAACTACACCAATTGGTACAAAAGGTGCTCCGGTGATATCAAGTCTAAGGATCACATGCGCCACCATCCGTTAAAGGATTTATTCCATAAACACTAGGGTTACCATCCATATGGAATCCTCTGATGGGTCTGTCCAGTGAACTTGCCTCTAATAGGCACCCATGTGTTGCACCAGGTTGTCGGCAAACAACCTTGACAAGTGAGATCAGTCACTGCCTTTTGACAAGGTCGTTCAACACTATGATAGTCTTACCGTATTATATGTGTCCTTGATCAGAATAATACTGGGGCTGCAGACGTTTCTAGAATGACCACCATATGTGATCATAGGGTTCTCACTATCAATATTTGAAACACTTGATATCCTCATCACGGTTCTATCATCCTAAGGACATATATCATTACATACACGATATAAAAGAATATGCCTTTTATTGATAAATAAACATTTATTACAGAGTCAATTTTACAATAATTGATTGGCTCTAAGGCATTTACTCTAACAACTTCATTTCCATTCATAATCCCTCCTGCTCAGCTAGCTTTGATCCTCCTGGAGTAGCCTATTCTTTAAATGATTCTCCTCCAAAAAGTGGTAAGGATTCACTCTCCTCTCCATCTATTACGCCTGTATCTTATCAATCACCATCATCCATTGCATCTCTGCCATCAAAAACACTGCCTGGTACAATCACAATAGACCTAACAACTTCACAACTCCCTAATCCTTCCCCATATCATTCGACCCTATTCCATAATCCTTCACCATATTATTAGACCTTACATAATTTTCACAAACCTGAACCAACCCTCCACAACTATTCCAAACCAGAAACAGCTCTACACAATTATCAAAGAATAGAACCAGCCATACACGATTTTTACAGACCAGAACCATCCTGTTCCATTGAAATTGATATGAATCCTTTCAAGTTTGTTGTCATTCCAAGCTCTTTAGATGTTCCCACAAACACGGATCCCATGATTACAAAAGCCAAATCTGCTGCTCTTCCCAAAACAACATTACTAGTTGCTTTCCCCATAATGCCTGAACCAAGCACTGTCCAAGAAGCCTTGTCTAGCAATGAGTGGAAATCAGCTACACAAGTAGAATATGATGCTCTAATTGCCAACCATACCTGGACCCTTGTCCCATTCTCCTTGGAAATGAATGTTGTAGGGAACAGGTGGATCTTTAGGCCAAATTTCAATGCCGATGGGTCCCTCCAAAAGTATAAGGCAAGGCTTGTAGCCAAAGGTTTTTAACAAACCTCCGGCCTCGACTATTTTGAAGCCTTTAGTCCAATAATCAAGCCTTCCACAATACGAATTATCCTTACCTTGGCAGTGACAAACAATTGGGATATCCAGCAGGTGGATGTAAACAATGCTTTCCTCAATGGTACACTAAATGAAGTGGTTTATATGACTCAACCTTTTGGTTTTGAAGATGCCACACAACCAACTTCAGTTTGCAAGTTAAATAAAGCCCTTTATGGATTTAAGCAGGCTCTAAGGGCCTGGTTTGATAAGCTTAAACAAGCTCTTCTGTAGAAAGGTTTCATTAACTCTGTATCATATTTGAGTTTGTTCATCCTTCATCAAAATGGTCAAGTTGTTTACATTTTAGTTTATGTTGACAACATATTGTTAACTGGTTAAGATCTGTCCTATATAAAACAATTGGTGCAGGAATGACCAATTCGCACTCAAGACACTTGGTTCAATCAATTATTTTTTGGGGTTGGAAGCAACAAGAACAGCCACTGGTTTACATTTAAAACAATCCAAATATGCTACTGATTTGCTTGCCAAGACAAATATGTTAAAAGCCAATGCATGTTCCACTCTTATGGCTACTAGTGCAAGACTGTTTCTAGAAGATAGTGAATTATTCTCTAATCCTAGCCTGTTTAGGAGTACTGTAAGAGCTTTACAATACTTAACTTTAACCAGACCAGATCTGAGCTTTACGGTTAATAAGTTAAGTCAATTCTTACAAGCTCCTACCACCCTTCATTGGGAAGCTTGCAATAGAGTCCTGCAGTATATTCAGGGTACTAAAGACCATGGGCTAAAAATCACTCATGCTATCTCTCTTCAAATTGAATGTTATGCTGATGCTGATTGGGGAAGTAATATAAAAGATAGAGGTCAACTAGTAGATATTGTGTGTTCTAGGTCCCAACTTAATCCAATAGAGCTCTAGAAAACAAAAAGTAGTGGCTCTTTCCTTTACTGAAGCCCAGTATAGGGCACTTGCACACACATCCACTGAAATTGCTTAGCTAAATACTGTGTTTACTGAATTAGGACTATCCTTCAACAAAACTCCAGTCATATGGTGTGACAATGTGAGTGCTGGAGCTTTGGCCTCGAATCCGGTCTTTCATGCTCATACCAAACACATAGAAATTGACACTCACTATATTCATGAACAAGTATTAGCTCATAAGATTACTGTTCAGTATGTACCTTCTAAGTTGCAAATTGCAGACATACTCACCAAGCCTCTTCCTGCTGCTCAATTTGAAGAACTAAAGGCAAAGTTGACTGTTAAATCGTGTTGCAATTAAAATGTTGATTAAATGTTTATAGTGCTTCTTTTCTTTTATTGAAATCCTATGAAGAGCTGTAGTATTAGCTACAATGAAGCAATGAGTTGCTGCTGTCTAAAGCAGTGATTAATTAATGTTGGCATTATGTGGTGGTTCATTGATGTGTTTCAGCTTGTAAGTTACTGATCTGCTTAAAATCTCAGCTGCTCAGAAGTTCTCTTAGCCTCCTGAACTCTTAGTTTACTCAAGTCGGATGCAACTGACTGAAGTTTGATTCTACTATGTTGTGTAAAATTGCTTATTTAGTTTATTGCAGTAGTTCACAGGCAGGGGTCTCCAACAGGTAGTAGCTAGTTATTAGCTTGAATTCTTACCAGTTCGAAGAAGGTCAACCATTGCAGCAATTTAAGAAGATTCAAAAGAAGAAGATTTTATGTTTCAACAAATTTAAGAATGTCTGCAGAATTTACGTTTCAACAAATTTAAGGAATGTCTTAGATTTACAGTTACAGGGCAAAAGCAGAATTTAAGTCTTGCCTTTCTTGTTTTTTTTTTTTTTTTTTTTTTTTTTTTTTTGGCAAACTGAAGCTACAAGGTTGTTCAGCTTGAGGGAGGCTGTTAGTTACAAGCTGAATTGGCAAGCTGAAGCTACAAAGTAGTTCAGCTTGAGGGCGGCTGTCAGTAAGGCAAACCTGGGCCAAGTCTAAAGCCTAAAACACTGTCGTTTTTAAACTTCAGATTCAGTTTTACGAAAACTGTGTCGTTTTGACCAGTTCCCTTTTCTTCTCTTTATTTGTAGAACTTCAGCTGAACTTCTCTGCATATATAAAGAGAAGTCAGCTGTATTTTGATACTTAAGTTGTGTCAATAAAAAGTTCAGTTAATAAAATTTTCATGCTATTTCTTTCTCCCCAATACTCTCTTTAAGCTTCAACATCTCTAATCTCAAAATTCCACAAGCTAACTAGAAAATACCGAGTCAACGGCTCCTAACTTCATGCCAGTAGACAAAATGAATCGCCGAAGTTCAGAATCCACAGGTTCAATGTGCCTTCCACAGCCAAGAACGAAAATTTCTAAAACAAATTATCATGAATGAAAGTTCAGTGAAATGGGGAACAAAAAAAACATTTTTTTTTCAGTCCTCGAGATACAGCAACAAAATAAATAAGAGAGATATAACATAATAACATCAAAGATAGTCCCCCCAACCAAGATCTGATACTAAAAATTTATTAATCAAATAGTCTGAGAGCAAGAAAAATTTAAACCAAAGCACTTTCAACTATTTAATAGCAAAAAAAAAAAAAAAATGATTTTGCCAGGATTAAGTACACAAAACTAGTGGTGGAAAGGTTGGGCATGTCACAACTTTTAGTATTCAAGGGATATAACCTGATAAAATAATTTTCAACCTCCAACAGGAGATTAGATTATTGGGATAGAAAGTATTATCAATTTTCCAGTTCAGCATCATATTTCCTCTTCATAAAGATAAAGTTTGGAATCTCACCTGGAATTGGACGCAATAGTTGGAAAATCGATAAGCTGCACAAGATAAAAAAAATAATTCGACATTAGGTACCAGTTCAGAAAAACATAAATGACTTCTCTTTCAAGCTAAAAGAAGTTGCAGCAGAAAACTCTCAAGCAATCCATTGGGAGATAATCTTATGAGAATAAATCAACATCTGAGATGATCGACCTTTTTATTTTTTCTGTATGTCTCACAACAAAAAAAAAAAAAAAAAAAAATATATATATATATTAAACTATAGGCTATCGTGACAATAATATCCAACAATGAGACATCAATAAAAGCAGCACTTCTGATATATCATTATTTTGGTAAAGTGAAAAGGCTGTATCTGAAATATCTTTCATTTCAATGTCTATGATGAAAATTATAAAGTCAAAAATAGAAGTGTATGTGAGATAAATACATTCCTCCCACAATTACCTTACTTTTCACTACAAGCTTAGATTCCCACTCTACACGAAACACTTTGTCATAATCAGTCATTCAAAGAACTCAAAGACTATTTTTAATTTTATATCTTGTGCTCTTACTAAAAATAATAATAATAAATCCTGTGGCTATCATATGCAAATGTATCTTAATGAAATTGTTGGAGATATGTAAGTTGTATTCATTGTGATCCAAATAATAGCACATAAAAATCAGCTTCCATAGAGTTATTGAAGCAAAAGAAATAAGGTATATGGATACCTATTTGGAGCAATGATACGAGCTTGAAAATACGTGTTTAGTTAGTAATTTATTTAGATTATTTGTGGGAAAATTAGTTTTAAATGCGAAATTTAAGTTAATTATTTCATAAATACCTTTTATGGGATCATATGTGTATTTTGAGTATTTTCAGGTCATAAATTATAATTGTTGGTGACTAAATTGGTGACGGCTAGGAACAAACAGATTAGAGTTGAAATGAGAAAGTTATGGTGTTTTGAAAGATGAGATTCGAATCTTGGAATTTCTTCAAAGATGAACATGCTTCAATGGTTTGATCATAACTTGAGCTATAGAAATCGAAATTAGACGATTCTTATAGGTTGGAAAGCTTATTCAGAGAGCTACAATTTCTTTTTATGACTTTGTTTGAATTCTAAAGATAATGGACTCGTTGGATGGGAAGAACGATTGCCATTGGAGAGTGGGCCTATATGGGCAGTGTAAAGCCTGGTCTGAATTTCACTTGTTTTAGTTGCATTAAACTTCTTCCTGTTCAACCCACAAACCCTAGCACTATAAATAAAAGTCTTTAGTTAGTTTTGAAGGAGATTGGAAGGTAAGAGAAACTAGAGAAAGAAGAGGAGCCGTAATTGGGAAGATCAAAGCATCCATTCTTGGAGTTTTGGATTATCAATTAGAGGAGTTTTCTTTTAATTTTATATTTATCTCATGTTTATTATTTTTACAATGGTTGTTTCTTTTCATTCAATTATGAACTAAATATAGTTTTTAGGGCTAAGATGTAGCCCAATTTATGAATATGTATTGATGGATTTTTGTTAATGTTTGTTAAGCATATCTTTTCTAAGTTTTATTATGGTTCTTACTGCTTCTTTTTAAGCCTAGGAGTTGATTGATTTAATGGACTAGGTTGAGATTGAAAGATAAATCTAGTTAATCTAATATAATAAAATCATAGATTGAGCAAACGCTTAAGATAGGTTACCGCGATCTATGAGGCTTTGGTAAATTTCATAGTGCGTAATGATCTCTTAAAACTTTAATCCAATTTAGAGATATCTTGGGTTAATAATAAATGGTTAATTCGGTAATTGTTCAAGAGAAAGTTATTGGAATTCTAGATTGTAGAAAAAGCTTAACATTGTTAGCATTAATTATCAATACATAGGAGTAAATTGGTGTGAAACATGTGCTCTAGGTTTAGTCTTATTGCCTTACAACCAACGTGTTATATAAATTCAGTTTCCTTTTAGTTTTTAGTTTTCTTTTAATTTGTTAATTTTAGTTTGATTCATTCCTTAAAGGTTTGATTGATCAAATAGTAATAGGATAGTTTATTTTGGTAGTTGATAACTAGTTATTCTTTAGGGTTCGATATCTGTTTACTCAAACTGTATTCCCCTGTCAGTAATCTCAAAGAACTTCTTGGGAGTCCAAGACATAAGCAAATTTCCAACATAGAGTAGGCTACCTTCATAATGTACGCCATTCACCGTGAAGCTAGTGTCAGTGTAGCTGGAAAAACGAATGATAAAAGAAGTTAAGCTAAATCTTAACTTTTCTACAGAGAGTTTAATGAAGAAGAATTTTATTCAAGATATGAAAAAAAATTACAAATGAATGGAGTACACTTTACTTAAGTACTAACTCAGCTCAACTAACTATGGTTAACTGTAACAAACTTATTACACTAGTAAACTAACACAACAACTTTAACCAATTCTACAAATTAGTATGCTGATCTGGAAGTCAAACTAATGAGATGGACTGGAGCTGACTGAAGCTGAAACTGATATATCTTCAATACCTCCCCTCAAGGTGTTAAGTGATAAATATTAAACACTCCCATCTTGGAAAGAAAATGATGATGTAAATGACTGCCAAGAGATTTAGTAAGGATATCAGCCCTCTGCTCATTACTAGGAACATATTTAGTCTGAATAAGACCAGCTTGTATCTTCTCGTGAACAATATGACAATCAATGTCAATATGCTTGGTATGTTCATGAAACATGGGATTATAGGCTATATGCAAAGCTGACTGTTTATCACAAAAAAGAGGGATAGGAGCTGAACTAGGAAAACCAAGATCAGAAAATAATTGTCGGAGCCAAACAATTTTAGATACAGTAGAAGCCATGGCCCTGTATTCTGCCTCTAAAGAAGACCTTGAGACTATAATTTGCTTCTTAGACTTCCAAGACAAAAGAGACTTCCCCAAAAACACACAAAACCCAGTGACTAATCTCCAAGTAATCAAATAGGAGGCCCAATCTGAATCACAATAAGCATTAAGCTGAACTGTGTTATCAGATGGGAAAAATAAGCCCAAACTAGGAGCATGTTTAATATATTTAACAATCTTCAAGGCAACGTGCATATGAGACACCTTAGGTGCATGCATGAATTGGCTTAATAAACTAACTGAATAGCTCAAATCTGGACGTGTCATACATAAGTAAAGAAGCTTTCCAATGAGTTGTTGATAAATGGTAGCATCAGGCAGTAGAGGATCCCCAAAAATAGCAAACTTTTTGTCATAATTTGATGAAGTAAATTTTTTATGCTAATCAAGAGGAATAAGAGAAGGCCTAGCTCTAGATAAATTATTAGTGGAAATCAATTCTAAAGAATACTTTCTTTGACAAACAGTGATGCCCTTAGTTGATCTTGCTACCTCTAAACCAAGGAAGTATCTTAATAGACCTAAATCTTTCAGGTTGAAATGAGAATGAAGCAATTTCTTGGTATGAGCTATCAACTCTGAACTGTTGCCCGTAATTACTATATCATCTACATAGACTAAAACTACCACCATTTGAGTATCATGCTTCTTAACAAATAAAGAATAATTAGACTTAGATTGAGAGAAACCTCCTTGAACTAAGGTTATAGTAAGCTTAAAATTCTAGGCCTTGGAAGCTTGCTTTAAACCATATAATGACTAGTTCAATTTGCAAACAATGTTTGGGGCAGTAGGCTTATGAAATCCTTGAGGCAAGGTCATAAAAATTTCCATAGTTAAATCCCCTTGTAAGGAAGCATTATCTACATCAAGATGATACAATGGCCAATCATAGATGGAAGCAAGAGATAAAATAGTCCTCACTAATACCATTTTCACAATAGGGGAAAATGTTTCCTCATAATCAATCCCTGCTTGTTGTGTATAACCCTTGGCTACTAATCTAGCCTTATACCTCTCCAAGGTTTCGTCAGCATTATATTTCAATTTGTACACCCACTTACATCCAGTTGGATGCTTACTAGGAGGCAAAGGAACCAAGGACTAGGTGTGATTGTCTTCTAAGGCTTTGATCTCGTTGGACATAGCTTCAATCTAGTTAGGATCTTTGGAAGCTTGAAAAAAAACTGGCAAGTTTAGTCAAACTGGACATTTTGCTAAGATAAACTTGGTATTGAGGTGAAAGATGGTCATAGGAAAGGCAATCTGAAATTGGATACTTGACTAGATGAGTTTGTGAGGAAGAAGGAAGTGTAGGACAGTGAAAATTTGTAGGCCAAATGGGTGGTTTGGAGACTCTTTGTGATTTTCTTAAAGACACAGGAGGAGGTGCTCCTAGGTTGGCAGAATTAGGTGCAAGATTAGGGCTGGTTGCTGTAGCAGAGGAGTCTACTATAGGGTAAACTAGAGGGCACATCTGGTTCTGTGATTGGAGTAGAGAATTGTCCAGATTGTGGATAGGGTTCAGATGAGTCAGTTTCTAAGAAAATGTCTAAGGGAAAGACAGTCTTACTAGTAGTGGATAATTTGAATGGAAAGACATGCTCATAAAAGACAACATTTCTAGTGACCTAAATAGCATGTGTATCCAAATTGTACAGTAAATAATCTTTCTTTTCTAAAGAATCTCCTACAAACACACATGGGGTGGATCTTGGAAAAAAATTATCCGTAGGAGGAAGAATTGTAGAATAAGCTAAACAACCAAATACTTTCAAGTGTGCTAGTGAAGGAGATTTGCCAAAAAAAAAAAAAAAAATCAAAAGGAGAAAGACCTCGCAACACTGTGGTGGGAAATCTATTAATCAAATAAATGGTTGTTTTAACGCAATGACCCCAAGTGAATGTGGTAAATTGGATTGGAACTTCAATGCCTTGGCCACTTGTAAGATATGTCTATGCTTTCCTTCCACAACACCATTTTGTTGTGGAGAGTAAGCATAGGAGCTTTGATGTTGAATACTTAACTTTTGCAACAACTCTTGGCAATTTTTATTGAAAAACTCTAACCCATTATCTGATCTAAGACATTTGGGAATCACATGATACTAATTTTGGACCATATTTAAAAACTGTTGTAACACTTGAAATACATCATATTTGAATTGCATTAAAAAAAGCCAAGTAATCCTTGTGCAATCATCCACAATTGTGAAAAAATATCTAGCATTGCCAAAAGTAGGTATTTTATATGGTCCCCATACATCTAAATGTAAAAGATCAAAAGCATTGTTTGAAATATTTTGCTTAATGGAAAAGGAATTCGAGTTTGTTTTGCTAATGGACAAATTGTACAATGAAAAGAGTCATCAACTGGTAAGGTTTTCAACATTTGTTTAAAAACTAAATTTAGTACACGTCCCAACCTTTGATGCCAAACATGGAAATATGTACATGAATTAAGAGAAACATTTTTGCAAAGTAAAACTAGAAACATTATTCATTACTGAATTACAAACAGTATTAGTAGAAATCATTTTTGGCCAATGCAAGAATGTCATAGGAATTTTGTAGAATGGACTGCGTACAAGGAGCATAGAAATACAGGCCTTGGCTTTGTCTACCAATCCCCTTCAACTTGCCACTCCAGAGGTCCTGGATTAAGCAAAAATCAGGGTAGAATGTAATAGCATAGTTATTAGAGGTAGTGAATTTGGAAAATGAAAACAGGTTATACTTGAAATCCGGCAAATGCAGAACACAATCCAGACTAATTCTTTCATCCAAATGAATAGAACCAGTGTGTCTAATCCTAGTTTTTGTAACATTAGGTAGGCCAACATAAATGTGTGGGCTAGAATCCATGTCAATAGGAGATTTCAACCTTGACAATCTACTGGTCATGTGGTATGTTGCCCCTGAGTCTATTATCCAATTTTCAATTTCATTGTAACAAGAAAGAAGAGAAGTAGATGTGGCAATGCCTGCTACATCTGCTGAGGCTGACACATTTTCTTTGCCGAGCAGCTGAAGAAGCTGTGAATATTGCTCAGCTGAGAAGATTGTTCCAAGTGAATCCTTCTCAGAATCAGTAGAGACAGTAGGCGCTTGGACAATAGATTGTGATTGTGCTTGATTAGCAGATGATTTTCCCTTTGATCTATTCATCTTTCCTTTAAAGTCAGTTGGATACCCATGTATTTTATAACAGGTGTCTCGTTTGTGACCTGGCAAATGACAGAAGTCACATTCTATGTAGGGTTTTTTGCCTTTGTACTTAGAATTCTTCTGTGTATGTTGTGCATATAAAGCAGTTGTCACATCTGATCCAGTATTAGCTCCCACCAAAATCCTCTTACTCTCATCGTGACTGATAATCGAGTAAGCTTGTTTAACTGAAGGTAATGGAGACATCAAGAGTATCTGACTCCTTACCATCTAATATGTATCATTAAGCCCCACTAAGAACTACAATAGCCTTTGTTGTTTTAAGTGTTCCAAGTATGCCTTAGCTAATTCACTGTCCGGTGGTGGTAAACTGATCATAGAACTCATCTCATCCCATGATGCCTTCAACTTATTATAATAATTCGCCATTAACATAGTGCTTTGTGTGCCATTGACAATCTCCCGGTGAATTCCATAAATCCTAGTTCCACCCACCTTGTGGTATTGCTCCTGCAAATCCTGCCATACTTGATGTGCACTGGTGGAATACACAATTCCATTGAAGATTTCTTTCGAAACTATGTTAAAAATCCAAGCTAAGACAAGAGAATTACATCTCTCCCATTGTGCGCCTAAAATTGAATTTGATGGCTTCTTACATGTTCCATTTACAAAACCTAATTTGTTCTTGGCTTGTAGTGAAACTATCATAGCTCTACTCTAGATACCATAATTTTTTGTACTTGTGAGTTGCTCTATCAGCAGCATTGTACTAGGTGTGTTTGAAGAGTGTATGTATAGTGGGAATTTGGATCTATATGAGAACTAGTATTTGCCATTGTGAAGGAAAAAACCTCAGTAACTCACTATTTTAGGCTTCGGAAGAAACAAGAGGAAGATTCCAATTTGTAATTGACAATCAATTTGAAATGAACAAAGCTTGCCGTTAAACAAATCTAACAAATTTCAACTTGAAAACAAGCTATTTTCGACTTAGATTTCAACTCAATTTCCAACTGATAGAAGCTAATTTCCAGCTTACTAACCTGGAGCATTTGAATCAAAACAAAATCGACCAAGATTGATGAACGAATTCAACCATCTTCTTCCTCTAATTCAAAGATCGAGACCTAGCTCTCTGATACTATATTAACTTCTCTACAAAGAGTTTAATGAAGAAGAATTTTATTCAAGATCTAGAAAAAAATTACAAATAAATGGAGTACACTAACTGTGGTTAATCGTAACAAACTTATTACACCAATAAACTAACACAACTTTAACCAATTCTACAAATTAGTATGCTGAGCTGGCAGTCAAACTGATGAGCTGGACTGGAGCTGACTGAAGCTAAAACTAATATATCTTCAATACTAAATATGAAGATTTTGATAAAGAAGACTAGTTTTTATATATATTGAAAGAGCGAGAGAAAGAGAAAGGTATCGAGAAAACAGGAAACCCTTGAAAGCGGAGCTGATCTTTAGGAACATTATCGATGAGATTGATTTGATCATATAGAGAGAAAGCACGTCTCAATGATGGCAATTGCTGATTTGGACTAGCTTTTGGAAACCCCTTCCTTAGGCTTTTTAACAGATTCAGCAATGTTGCCACAGCTCTGTGTCTCATTGTCATATTCTAGTTGAGTTGGAGCTGAAATTGAACCAATTGTGGACAAGTGGGCTCTCTGATTTTCCCTGTAGAATATTTTCAATATTAAATTGTGCATCGAATCATTTGACCTCCTTCACCTCAACCCTAATTAATTTTGTAAGCCAAGCTTACTACAAAAACTTGTAAATAGTCTTGCGCTTATAGGATAAAACAAAATAAAAAATACAAAGAAATGGTATGAATTAAGGGATGTCAGAAAACTCTGGGAACAAAATGTTCAAAACACCATTCATCCTTCACAATCAATCACAATAAAAAAGAAAAATTTGAGAATGCATAATCAGAAAATCTTCACACTTATAATTCACTGCAAACAAGATTAACAAAATGAAAATGGCAAACAATCAACAAAGCTTCGTCTATAATACAAACCCTTAAAATGCTGAAAGTGAGGAGAATCTAATACAATAAACTAATTATATAGAAAATGAAACTTCAACTCTTTTGTGAATTAGTGATTGCAACTCCGTTCGAACTATCAGAAACCAAAATGCCTAATTTTAAGTTGATGCCGCTTCTTGACTATCATTGGAAAAGAAAATAAAGCAAATAAACTCACAAATATAAGCCAATATCACAAATTAAAACCATTCCTTACTTCGTAAGAGAGCGAAATCAACATCAACAAGAGATTTGTGTTAGAGAAAGAGAAACCCGTTCACAGTTTCTATATTCTGTTTTTTTTTTTTTTTTTTTTAATTTTGTGAATTAATATATGAAAATTAGTGGACTGAGCTATGATAATGGGCCACTGGCTTGGGCTTTTCTTTGGGAAATAGCATAGCCTACCCGCTCTCTCACTTCGGCCCAATGGGCTATGTACATGTACAAAGAGGAGTGAGGAGAGGAGAAGTCCCTGCTCAGCGCTGATGATGTCATTTCATTTTTCTTCTGCTTTTGTTTTGCGTCAGCGTCACCAATTTTTTTGTCCTATTTTAATAAACAATTTTTTGTTTTTTTGGGTATTTGAATAAATAAATTCATACGTTTATATGGTTTAACTTATTTTAACTTAAATTTATGGTTTATTATCAATTGTAATTGAATAGTTAAAAAATAACTACTCATTGAAACATTGTGTCAAATTTAAATTCCAAGAAACTAATCATATTTAGTTTTTGTACATATAAACAGAATTAGAATATATATAGATATTATATATCATAATTCATTTATCCTCTGCCACCAATTTGCAATGATAACTTTAAAATTACTCACTTTTACATGGCGAATTAGAAAATCAAAGCCATGGCCATGGTGAATTGGCGAAACTCCTTTTACTTTTTATATATTTATATAATGTTCCTTGAATTTCCCTTTAATTTGGTCAATAAAAGGAGTGATAGGGTCCATTCTTTTGTCCTGTCTCCTAGCTCATTAGATTAATCTTGGACTGGCGCCCATTCAATCACCGACGATGAAAGAATATTATAGTTTAAACTTAAAAGGCAAACAGGAAAATTGGTAAAGCGATATTAGAATTAAAATACAAATAAAAGATACTATGGTTACAGAAGACACTTTCAACTTGCTTATCATAATAAATAAAAGCCTTGCGCTCAACTGAGAGAAATGAAAAATGCATGCATTTCTCCAAGTTTCATGGCAAAAGGAAAAGCCCTTGCACTAAGTGATTTAATTAAAAAGATAGATTAAGTTCAAACTCTTAGATCAGCCTGCAGAGTGGTGATGATATTGTGTTGGCCCCTACAACTCCTTTCCTCAAATTTGATATACTTATACCATCTAGCGCAGATGATGTAGACGAGGAGATCAGCAGCTGTTAAAGCTGCTAAAAGAAAATAAAATCTGTCTAGATGACCTTTGTTAAGATTTCCTGGGATCCAACCAGGCATATCATCTCTGGTTGATATTTTCATCACAATTGTTACAAGCAAGCTACTTACATAATTTCCCAGAGATATCGATGTCATGCAAAGTGCACTTCCAAAACTCTTTAATCCATCTGGTGCCTGACCATTAAAGAACTCTAATTGACCCACATACATAAATACCTCTGATGCTCCTATCAGTACATACTGAGGAATTTGCCAAAATATGCTCATTGAACTTGCGCTTTCACAATTCCTACATTCTTTCTTCGCATACTTCAACCTGAATATCTCTACAACTCCTGTTGATACCATTGCTGCTATTGCTATCACAAGACCGATTCCCATCCTCTGAAGCTCTGTCAGACCTTTTGACTTTGTCTTTCTTAGTCTCGCAACTAGAGGATCAACAACTCTCCTATATATAAATATGAAAGCTGCAACACTCAGAATTTCAAAGCTAGACATGCTCGCTGGAGGGATGTGAAATCTTGAAATGTTTGTTTTCATAGCAGCTCCTTGTTCCACAAAAAGTGATGCCATTTGGGTGAAAATTACTGAGTAAAGTATTGTGCATAACCAAATTGGCAGGAGTCTCAGTATGCATTTAACTTCTTCCACTTGGGTCACCGTGCAAAGACGCCAGGGATTAATATTGCTGGCATCATTCTCTTCGTCAATGTAATCGTTCGATGTGATGGCTGCCGCTCTATTCAAGAACCTGATCATAATTATATAACTCCAATTAATTAACCAACATCCATCTATATATGATTCTAGAAGTTGAGTGGACTATAATATATAACTTACTTGAAACTTTGAGAGTGGAAAATCTTTCTAGCCCCACTCTTGGATTTTTCGTTTACATCGACCTCAAAGAGATCCTCATCACCTGGAGTCATCTGGACCTTCCATTTTCTTGTTGCTGCAACCACCACTTGGCAAAACCTGGCTAGAGGATTGCCACTGGGTTTAAAATGCCTGTATCTGGGAGTTCCAACCAGAAACAGGACCAATGCCACAGTAGCAGAGGCAGCTGAAGCCCAAAATCCCAGCGTCCACATCCCTTCATCCTCAAAATATCCCAATATAGTATTTGAAAAGAGAGAGCCAAGGTTCAAAGCCAAGTAAAAGTAGCTGAAGAAGGCTATTTTCGATATCCCTTCCTTGGGGTCCTCTTCATCAAACTGATCCGCCCCAAATGTAGCTATATTGGGTTGGTACCCTCCGTTTCCTAGGGCAATCAAGTATATAGAGAGATAGAACAGTGTAATATGGATTTTTGAATGAGATCCACATGGAGTTTTATCATCGCCACAGCCACTGGGCTTCAGTAAGAATGCGTAGGTTGACACTGATAATGATACAAGTCCCTGCAGTTACAAATGAAGAGTTAATTTAGGAAACAGTAGTTACAGTATAATTATTAATGTAAATTGTTAAGTATAAGCAACTTACAATGACAAAGATGGCCTGGAAGATAGCACAAGTCTTGTACCTTCCCCAGTAAGAGTCACTGAGGAAGGCGCCAAGCAATGAGAACATATAGACGGTGCCTGTCCATTTGCTCACATTGTTTGCCGCCTCAGCATTATTCTGGCCCAACACCCTTGTCAAAAACAGTACCAAGTTCACACCTACTCCAAAGAATGCCAACGTGGCCAGTCCTTGATTCACTGAATTTTTTTCAGAAAAACGAATCAATTAACATAAATATTATTAAAAGAGAATTTCTTTAATATATGATAATGCTTAACTACCCATATTAATTAGCTGCCAATATAAAACAATGGTATTAAGAGAAATCGTTTGTACATATACATAAATATATATCATTTTTTCGTACGTCTAATCTAAAATTTAAAAGCAATCACATTATAATATATGAAAAAATGGCGGACCATAACAATAACATAACTTTCACAGTCTACCATCGATAATTAAAAAATAAAACTTAAGATATTGGCCCATACATAAATATCATCAATAATTAATTACCTAAGATAAGAATTCCAGCAATCCATGTTCCAGATCTTTCCCGGATCGCGGGACGACCATGTCGATCAACAGCTCCATCTAGAGTACATGCCTCTTGCTCCTTGTTTATCTTCTCCTCTACTATACCCTGAAAATTTTTTACCAACATTAATTAGATATAGAGTCTTAAAACTAATTCAGAATACGCAAAGAACGATCGAGAAATATTGCATGCTTGAGCCAGCCATGACGTGAACGAAATGTTAAATGACAGCCGGAATAAGATCAAATAAATAAAATATGAAAGACGTAATGGATTTTACATGTTGTAAAGTTGAAGAGTGTACATAAATGATGAAAATTGAAGTAATTTATTGGTTGTCATTATATATTATTTTTCAAATCTTTTTGTAATTATATATTTTCTTAGACTTAGAAGTACATCCTAATTGACTGAAGTGAATATATGTGTTTGGATATACGATCTGCCAAAAGAACATGGGACAACAAAAACTGAAGCCACTTTCGTTGTCGAATTTTAAATAAGAAAGAAATAAAGGGTACGTGAATCCCATGTCCGAAGGGCTTGGTGAGAGAAGCAGACAGCTAGATGGGATTCCAATTTCCATGGCCATGAGTGATACTCATAGTAGGAAAAGACCTTTCACCAAACACTAATACTAATACATGCCTCGCTATTATTAAGACACCACACTCTATACACATAGAGATGTTCCATGGCCTAACTCATCATTCAGTCTGCACCTGATCAGCCTTTCGTAAGCTTTCAACTTTCTCAATCAGAATTTGGACTATATACTGATACACATGCTTGCAGGAACATATTCTGCATCCATCACCGACACAAATTATTAACCACTCACTACACCTATTACTTCGAATCTCTAATTACAAGTTTAAAGCTAGACACATATACGTTTCATATATTTTCTTTCACCAGTTATTTACTCCTTAATCATCCAAAGACAAATATATAACGATTAATTTGATGCGCCTCTTTACTATTCTAAATGAGAGTGACTGTAGTGAAGTCCACCTCCCCTAGCTAAATACTAAATAGCTTGTTAATTTAAACAGGATTTGGTTAATTAAAGTAGCATTTTAACTGTGTTTTCTTCCCTCTTAAAACAAAAAAAAAAAACTATGAAGAGGGCCCCCAAAAAGTAGCAAATTAGAATGCACGTGAGACATGGTGTACTAATTTATAAAGAAATATATACATGCTTGAATTGAGTTACTCTTTTCTTCTGTAACTCATGATTTAACAAAAGAGAATAAGAGGTGAATCGACCATCTAATTGTTTTGTTCTTCAACATGTTTTAAGCCCAATAGTCAGATGTCGGAAGGTCCTACATGCATGAAGATGAAGTTAAACAAACATTTATGCGCACGTATGCAGAAGCAAAAAAACCCCTTGACATATATATCATTCAATAAATATATAGCCAAAAAAAGGCTTGGCTAGAGGTATTAACAAGGAGATGGCAGAAGCAACAAGCAGTAAAGTTTGATGAATATAGCCAAAGAGGCGAGTCTTCACAATGATATATATTATGATCAAAGTCGCAATAAATTTCAGAAAGAAGGGGGGAAAATATAAGCATTTTCAGTGTAAAAGAAGAATTTGGATTTGATTGACAAACCTCGTTGCAAAAGTTGAAAAAATCCATTGATGAAGTATAACATAATAAACAAAAGAGAGAGAGAGATTTTGGAGAAGAAGAAGATTGAGATTAGGAAAGAAATGGGAGTAATGTGGAAGTGCGGTGGGTGTAGGAACTAGGAGGTGTATATATAGAGGAAGGGAGGGAAAAATGAACGGTAGAGAGAACGTGAGAAGAAAAAGGAAATGTGTTGGAAGGAACAGCCAACAGGTGAGGTGGGGGCAAAAAGCTGGGTGACAATTGTTGGATAAAGAATGCATCATATTATCATGATCATAAGCAGTAAGTAAATCATGTCTCTTTCAACTATAATATGAATATCCCAACTGGCTGTGATTAAGCTGTCTTGATTTGAGATAATTCAAGCATGCACCTAGCTATTCCTTTTTTAATTTGATTCTCCAATCCTAGTTGGACAGCTTAATCTCAATTAGTTGCAACCCTAGCTTAACATTATATTTATCAGTGTTTGTTTCTTTTGGGACGCTTCTGGGAGGGTCATATTGACTTTGACACCGTTTAATCTTGCTTCGTGGCCTAATTATGGGATTATGGAGTGAAGACAAGGAAATACGTACATTAATTGATTTCAATAATTTTAATACAAGCTCAGCAAGGTCTACGAAGCAAGCACACGCAACTTAATAAGTGTTTCATTTGTATATAACATGGTTTTAAAACCCAACCGAGCCCAGCCGATTCAACCGGTTGAATTGGGAACCGATGATCGAGTCAGGTTGGTTCGACTTAAAAACCAAAAATATTAAATAATCCAGTTTGAAATGCAATTGAACCAGATATTTTGTTACGAACTGTCGGTCCAATCAATTCAACCCAACAGTTGAACTGTATTTTATTATTTATTATTTTTATATATATCATGCTGACATCAGAATGATGTCATTATGTTAAAATCAATATGATGACATCACGGTTCGACTCGATGATTGAACTGGTTCGACTGGCCAACCCAATGACCCGTGTCACTCTTCGGGTCGGGTTTTAAAACCTTGGTATAAAATATAGCTGCCTTTTTTTACAAAGGAATCACATATGGCTGCTAATTATGTAATTAAAATGAATTGCATTCAAGAAATTAAGTGGTATAAAATAACTGATGAGATGTGGTTATATTATTATACAATTACGTGTATATGTATAGATGAGGTGGAGCTAAGTTAGCCCAGTATTATCAGTATGAGTTGATTAAATTTTAAGATATTAGTACTAGGAAGTATGTGGATTATGGTCCTTTTCTTTCTTTCTTTTGGATGTTTGCCACAGTAAACCAGCAACAGTCCATTCAACAGTTATTTAGTTAGGGTAGTTCAGCTCTCTTTAAAAATGAAAGATGAATTCAGATAAAGCTATCAAATGCTCCCTGTACCTATGTTGGTAACTGAACATTCTAGTATTTGGCAATGCATAAAAATGCTTGCTATAAATGTTTATTACGTTATCTATGTATATATATTATTTAAATGATAAAAATTTCCAGATTCATGACGGGTCGTATCCAAATTTCCAGCTAAATGTCACTTATCTTTTAAATAGGACAAGTTGGAAAGATAAGTCAAGTAATAAGTTATAGCAATACTTCAAAGTTCAATCGCGAGAAAGTCGGGATACGTCATACGTGATGACTAATGAGTCCCTTTCGTGGGGTCACTACACAAACTTCCAAATTTGTAGGTTAGACTTTGAGTCTAATTTCTCTTTCAAGTTTCAACATGAAAACCCCCACCGTCCTATTCAATTCCACCACGTCTTATTCCAACTTGCTTATCAGTAATTAATTCAACCATACATAATTAATACATGTACTGTATATACTGTATTAAAAGTTTTAGCAAAATTAAAACCAAATAATTAACCAAAATGGGTTTGCTAATATTTACATATTTGGGACCTCCATTAACTCTTTACACACAGAATTCAACAAATGTTTTGCTTTTTAATCAACTACAATACAAAATTGTGATACTAATTAATAATACAATAATTGAAAATTGTGGAGGTACAAAAGCCCAAGTAATATCTAAACTAGCTTATCAGTTTTTAAATTTTCTGCCGCCTTTGTCGGCAAGTTGCAACTTTTTGAAACACGTGATGTCTTTGTTTTACTTGGATAAGCACAGATTGACAATTTCAAGTTTGAAGAAAAGTATAATTTAATTTAAAATTTCTTCGGCGTTATTGAGTTGATTAACATAATATAAACGTTTGGAAATAATAATAATTAAGATTGATGTAACTTGTTTCCTCTTCACAAGAGAAATTTGGTCCAGATAGATATGAACTCCACTTATCAGATTGAAATGGACAGATAATATGGGAGACGTGCGATATGTAATAGATATGAACTCCACTTATCAGTCTATCAGATTGAAAAAGACAGATAAAATGATCTCCCTCATATATATGAAGAGCAATGCTAGTTTTACAAAAACACATACAAAGAGGTATACAAAGACAATCATACCCTTGATTTTCATGATTTCTCTCTCTCTTTCTTTCTCTTTTTCTGTTTTTCCTTTGTTTTTTCCTTCTGGATAATGTCACTTTGTAGCCCTTTTTGTATGTGTCTTTGTAAGGATAACATTTTTCCTATATTAATTGGGTCTTTCCTCAGCCTACTCCCAGCCTATGTNCATAATAAGTTAGTAACAGTAACAGATAAACTTAATTTGTATTGAGTGAAGACAGTTCACGTGACGTGGTTAATTGGTGAGCTTGTCATGTGACTCTGCCTGTCTTCTTTTCTCTTTGATGTCTTGATTAACAAAATTTACCCAACTTCACTTCACTCGGTTCCTATATTTTGACTTTACACATCAATCATCACGTCCAAGTCAGCCATTCAGTCAACCCTCAAAACATCCTCCATCTCACACTCTGCAATCTAACACTACTAACTTGTATGTGAATGTTAAGAAAACTAACACTATTATTGTATTTGTAGCAAAGTGATGGGCTGTTTTCAGTCCAAAACTGCACATCTACCATCTCCTGATCAACAACCTCCTCCTCCTGAACCCAACCCAGATCTAGGTACGTTTCCTTCGTTCTCTCTACTTCTTTTTATATCATATTTTGTCTACTTGTTAATATGAATTAATGAATGAAGGTGATGTTAATGAAGAGGAACCAGTGCCTGCATTCAAAGAGTTCGCCCTGGCTGAACTCCGAACGGCCACCAATGGTTTCAGCAGCGAATTAATTGTGTCGGAGAGTGGAGAGAAAGCTCCCAATGTTGTCTACAAAGGAAAGCTCAAGAACAATCGTGTGGTTGCTATCAAGCGCTTCTCAAGGCAATCATGGCCCGACCCTCATCAGTTTGTGGTAACCAAAGCACGCTCCTTTTTTTAGTTATTTTTTCAATTTCTTTTTAAATCTTTAATCTTTGGTACATTGACTTATAGACGGAGGCTGCTGGTGTGGGCAAAGTTCGGCATAAGAGATTGGTGAATTTGATTGGTTGTTGCGCGGAGGGAGATGAGCGCTTATTGGTGGCTGAGTACATGCCTAATGATACCCTCTCCAAGCACCTCTTTCATTGGGAAAAACAACCATTCCCGTGGGAAATGCGTCTCAGAGTTGCTTACCATATTGCGCAAGCACTTGATCATTGCAATTCTCAAAACCATAATATCTATCATGATTTAAATGCTTACAGGGTTCTTTTCGATGAGGTTACATTTTAACTTTACTATTTCCATTATCTTAGTATGAGCTTGCTGGATGATACTACATCTGTTCCTTATTCTACTTTAACAATACAATACCTTTCTGATGCTATTAATTTTCTTTAATTTAACGGCACACTTTGATTACCTCTAAACTTTTGGATTTCTTAGGAGAGCTGGCACAATCACAATATTTGGTTTGTAAACAGATATTTTTTGTTTTTGGTGGTGTTGAAGCTAATTGGATTGATATAAGTTTTCAACGTGCACCTTTAAAACATTTCATCGCTACTGTCTTTTATTCTGAAATTGTTAATTATGAAGATTTCCATATTTGAGAGATTAAGGGAGGAAGTTGAAGACTAGGAAAAAGGGAATTATATATCAGTATCATCGTTGATATAATAGTAAACCCTTTTCTATGAATAGAGAGTAGAAAAATATTTAAACACTCAAACGCAATCTTTTGTTATTTAAGTTTCAAATTAGTTTATAATTCATGTTACACAATCTTTTGTTTACTTAAGTTTCAAATTTGTTTATAATTCATATTTCTTTTTCTCATCCACTTGAAAGTAGGCCTGTTTTCTGGTGTCAACAAACTTAAACGATTTGGTGTTGAATTTGATTAAATCATTATGGCAGGATGGTGACCCTCGATTATCCAGTTTTGGTCTTATGAAAAATAGCAGAGATGGAAAAAGCTACAGCACAAATTTAGCTTATACTCCACCAGAATTTTTACGAACAGGTAAATCATTCTAATTTCATTTTTATTTTCATGTACATTAAATTTACATTTAAGTATGCTAATTGGCTGTTTACTTTTTTAAAGAATTTCGATTTGAAGATTTTATGTTTCTCTTATAATAAAGTCTGACTTAGAATCGATTAAATAATTTAAATGCAATCAAGTCTATGTCATTGTTTTGTTTGGCCTTTGAGACACAGTAGTTCCTTTATACAAAACAAGCATTATTACTTTTATTGAAATTTAGGGAGGAGCGTTGTCTTCTCCATGGGCACTCATGGTAATCCTGCCAGCAACTATATTGGTCGAAATCACTGCTTTGTGGAGAAACCAAGAATAGATCATTGTATTTGTTGCTGCTGAGGCATCTAAAACCAGTGAATCATAGTGTAGATAATCACTCTGAAAGCAAAGAATTTCTGACCACACAATTATATATTCGCTCTCTATGATCTGGATGATCAAATGTTGCAGGTAGGGTCATCCCAGAGAGTGTGATCTACAGCTATGGAACTGTTCTGTTGGACCTTTTGAGTGGAAAGCATATACCTCCAAGCCATGTATGCTTCATTCTTCTTATGATCTTTATTTTGAATTTTAGTTCAATTCTGTTATCTGAGTACTGTTTTTAATAGTCTTTTAGCTCACTATTGGTTCTGCCTGTGGGTTATTATTGTGATAGAAACAGCAGTAGGGTTTACGAGTTATTGCCATCCTATACCTACCAAAGTGAAAGTGTATTTGCAGAGCCATCTTAGCCAAAAAATGAATTTGTAGGATTGGGAAATTATGGGTAGGTTACTAGGATTTAATAAGAATAATGTGATAAAAAGAAAATTTAAGATATCCGCTTTGACTTTTTGAATCAGAGTTTTTTATAACTGGTATTGTCATATCTGGGTCTCCTATTCAGTGGTACGCTACTTTGTTGTTTCTTCAGTTTTATGTGTTGTACAGATAGGAAATGTGGTTCACTGGAATTGATACACAGGCTCAGCCTACTTGTTTGTACTAATTAATTGTAATGAGGCTTTAACTAAAACTGGTATTATTTATGTTTGATTTTGTCCCATCATTGTTGTTTCTCAGGCATTGGACTTAATAAGAGGCAAAAATTTGTTATTATTAATGGATTCATCCTTGGAAGGACAATATGCTGATGATGATGCTACTCAATTGGTTGAACTAGCCTCAAAATGTCTCCAGTATGAGGCTAAAGATCGACCGGATGTTAAGTTTCTTCTTACGGCAGTGGTACTCCTCCAAAAGCAAACGGAGGTAAAATCTAAAAGTGCCTTTGGACATAACTGGAAGTTGGTGTGCTGTTTTTTCTTGATTTATACATGCATCATAGCCTACTAAGGTGTTTTTGTTTGTAATGATTCTCTTAGGTTGCATCACATGTTCTAATGGGTCTACTGAAAACTCCAGTGGCATTGCCAACTATGCTATCCCCCCTTGGGAAAGCTTGTGCACGAATGGATCTTACTGCAGTGCATGATATGTTGCTTAAAACTGGTTATAAAGATGAAGAGGGTGCAGAAAATGAGGTGAGCCAGATCTTCTCTCTTCGTTGTTACCATGTTACTCTACTATCTGTTGGACACTTGGACTAGAAAGAGAGAAATGAAAGAATTAGCATCTTCTTTGGGAACTCAGAAGTACAAACCGTTTGTTTTCTTTCTTTTCTTTTACCTGACTGAAACTGGCAGCATCTTTCCATTGGTTTTTTAAACAAATACTACTAAGTGTTTGCTGATTCTCTATATAATATATGGTGAAAGATGTAGTCTCCTAGTATTGCAAAATGATTACTATTTCGTATAATCTCTTTATTTGTGGTGTTCTGGTGGTACTTGTTCTTTTAATGATCTCATTTGCTGCAAACCTTTTTTTATTGAAGCTCTCTTTTCAAGAATGGACGCAACAAGTTCAAGACATGTTGAATACAAAAAAAATTGGGGATATTGCATTTAGAGACAAGGATTTCAAAAATGCTATTGACTATTACTCAAAGGTACCTTCCTCTTTCTCTACTATTGAACATAATTACAGTCATAATTGAGGTTGGCATGTGGAGTTGTCAATTGGGTAAAAGTAACTTTTATTTACACTTAAATATGACAGTTCATGAATATTCGTATTTTCCATTATTTTTCCTATATTAGTTGGATAGTTGTTCGACTATGTTGTGTCTATTCATTCAGCTGCACGCACTATCCCTTTTCCCTCTTTTCCTCCCTCACGCCATGAATCAGAAAAAGATATGCATCATATACTGAACAAATGGAAACGAACAAATATTGTTTACTAGGCCCTATTTGTGAGCCTATTCGAGTCGAGCTTTGGCCTGCAGGCTTGACTAGTTAATTTCACAGGTTAAGCTTTCACTTTTTCACCATTTTGTGTCCGAAGGTGCATCCCCGTTATTAGTATATTTTTATGCACTTTTTGGTCATAATAAGTTGATTAATCTGGTATGTGTTTCTCTTGCTAATAATTTGTTTAGCATGCTTTTCTTTTTTGATATCTCTATTTAGGTGATCAACCGCTTCTCCTATACAATGAATAAGTGTATATTTAATTCGCTGAAATGTGAACATGCTTATCATTTTTTTTTCCCTAAATTCAGCTGGTATCGATGATGTCTGTTCCTTCGGGTACTGTGTTTGTGAGACGAGCGTTGTCATACCTGATGATTGAACAAGCAGAACTTGCTTTGAGAGATGCAATGCAGGCTCAGGTGTGCTTACCAGAGTGGCCCACTGCCTTCTACATTCAAGCTCTTGCACTAAACAAACTGGGAATGGAAAGTGATGCTCAGGATATGCTTAATGATGGAGCATCCTTTGAAGCAAAGAAGCAGAATAGCTGGCGGATTTAGATGTTTAGTTTTGAGGGTTATTTTCAGTTGACGTCCATGCCCTCTGTCCTGTTGGCAAAATATTTTTAACACATACAAAAAATGTAAAAAAAAATAATAGCAAGAAATAAGAGAAGTGACCAACAAGCTATTTCTGTTTCAATTTTAAGTTTAGCTTATGGTAGAGTAATGTTGGTAGGCGTATTATAAAGTTTAGAGTAATGCTATGTTTATTCACGATTTTACTAACCATCTTACTATCCTTTGTTAAAATTACATATGGTACCTGTATTATGCGTATGATACTTGTATTATGTTTTATATTTACACAGATTAATAAAATGGTTAGGAAGATCATGAGTAAGGATAGTTTTATTGTAAAGTTTATGGGGGTTTCGGTTTTAAAATTGAATTGAGAGTGCGATACAATCAATTAGCAGATTAAAATTAATAGCATAGTATTTAACATTTTTTTTTTTTTTTTTTGAACGGGGTGTCTGGGCAAGTTACGTCATTTTTATTTAACAGTTCTTTGTTTATCGATAAGCATGATTCGTACTGAATTGATTGATTATTAGAATTTAGAAGAATGACAGAAAAATTCACCTAATTCTAAATGGAAATTACGTTGAAAATTAGAAAAATTGAGATAATGTGGGCCGGTCGATTAGGCGAGGCCCATATGTTTGTTTATTACAGCAAAGCACAAGTGGTTAAGTGGATGTGGATGTGGAAGTGGAACGGTAAAAGAGAATTTCAAAAAAAATTGATAAGGTCAATGAGTTTCTTTGTCTTTAAATATAGAAAGAAAGCATCCGTGGTTGGTTTGTTGTTTGTATTGAAGTATCAATCATCTTCATCTCTTCGGTACTTTCTCTCTTTCTCTGATCTATAATTCTATCTTTTTCTTTTATGTTTATTAATCATAGATATCTATTTCATTTTAGGGTTTATGACTGTCTATCCCTTCACCGTTGACCTGTCTTCTTCTAATTAATATAGATCGGAATGTTTTTACTTGAAATCCTTTCCTGCTTTTCATTCGTTAATTAATTCTTTGTGCTGATAAGGTTCTGTGTTTATACATACATATTCATGGCTGCACTGCATCTAGCGTCAACCACTTCAACTTTAGTCAGGGGTTTTTGTTTTTAATTCTTCAATAAGGGACAATTTATTTAAATTTTTTTTGTGCTTCACCTCCAAATTTTGACCAAACTAATCATATTTTTAGAATCTACAAGCAGTGATTAATGATATTATTTACTTCAATTGGCCTCTATTTAGGACGCTTCCGCACCCTACAACGGACAATCTCGCTTACTTGTGGCATAAGAGTGATTTAATATTTAATATACAACTATAAGCAATCATGGATATATGCATATAGCATAAAGTGATAAACAATAGACATTTGCTGTCAACTGAAATCCCGTGATGCCAATTTCAATAATCTACCAATTCCCATGTTGTATTTTCTGCAGACTACAGGTTGATTTCAGTTCAGTATATTATTGATGAAAATTATTTGCAGATTCACCAGAGATTACCCCATACTGCTGGATAAATTTATTATATGGCTGTACATTTTGGTGATTTCAAGTTTTGTGTTATTTTAGTATCTATCTTTCGATTGATGAGTTCCAAAAGAATGGGTTGATGTATTACATGCAGATAGTCATTTTATGGATAAATCAGCACTTGGCAAGGAGGCTCGTGAGGAAATCACACGGGAGGCACTGATTACTATCTCTTATACAGTGCCAGACAAGACTGTTGCCTCAAAACTCTCATCAGAAAGTGTAAACGGTGAAAAGCTGGGGAATGGAGATTATGATGAAGCAGAGAAGTTTAGGTCTCAACTGATTTCGATATCATATTCAGAGTCACCTGACATTAAAGGTCAACCAGATACACTTGGAGAATTGAAGGGCTAGACAGCAGGTTCAGGTTCTTTTTTGTGGCCAATCTTTTTTGTGTGTTTTCCTGGTAAAACAGTTACACTCACATTCTGTTGTGTTCTGTTGTGTGCATCAATTTATAATCTGTATGGGCACTGCCCTTATGCGATGCTTGTAGTTTTCAATTACCTAAAAACAAATCTGGGCTTTATGAGGAGAAGTTTTCTTCTGTTCGTGAATGAATATAGATTTGTGTTGCTCTTACATCTTTCTATTCCATGGGTATTCCTATGCAATTTGATATCTTTGATCTTGTGACTATTATGTTATATTATCTATATCATTTTATTATGTTATCTTATCTATATAATCAGGGTAATGATCCACCAGCCTGTTGCCGCCTTTTTATGAGTTTTTAAGGGGTGTTATAAACATGATCCCACATATGGGTGACCCTTGTGATTACTACACCATTATATGGTTAGTGGTTTTTTCTTTGTTTCTTTAATTAAAGAATTACAGTTTCAAGTCACATAAAATGGGGATTCTCAATCGAAATTCTTAGATGCAAACTCGGAAGAAAAAATTGGGATTATCTTTTACATGTGTTTATTGAGTTTGTTAGAAGTCAAGAATTTCATAAATTTGTATCAACCCAAATCTCTGAATAACTCTTGTACGAATACTTATACTTGAGCTTCAAAAAATTAAGTAATTACACATTTCTGTGTTGCAATTAGTTTTGTAGTCATGTATGCATTGGACCTCCACTACTTCTCTGTCCTCTTATTATATAGATAAAATTATAAAGTTCAAACACTTGTTTTTTATAAATTAGGATTTGATTAAAAAAAAAAAAAAAATTTCTTACGTTTAAATGAATGTAAGAATCTTATGATATTCATCTCCTTTCAAATGCATGAAACTAATCAAAATCATGATCATGTAAGCGAGCACGGTTATTTGTTGCCAAGTGGGATGAGAAGGACATCTGTGGAGCACAAAAATTTAGTACACAAATTAAAAATTGAGCATTTAATAATTCTTGCACATTGAAACTCCGCCATTAAGATTTGTAATACCAAGTGAGGAGGCATTAAAATAAATTAAAGAATCGACCTAATATATATTCATACATATATAATAAACAAAGATTGATGATATGACAATATACTCTTTATATGAGTAACATTACTCTTTTAGAAGAATAAAATAAATAGATTTTGTAATTAATTAGGGTTTTTTTTTAAGGAGAAATAAAAATAAAGAGTAATGTTACACTTATAAATATCTCCATATAAATTGATGTGACAAAAAATGAATAAAAGAGTGAATTTAATGAGTTTATCACTTCACTTTATATACAAATATTTGTAAGATTTTTTTTTTTTTATAAATATAGTATTATTGAAAAATAAAATGGTGATCCACGTAAGGATTTGAAGACATTCTTGTGTTATAACTTTAAGGAACATTGGTTATGGCTATTTCTCAAGGGAAAAATGGACGTTTAAAAACCACTAGTTCGCTGGAACTGCCGTTTTACTAAAAATAGAGGCTTACCTAATTTCCTCATTTATTTATTCATCTCTGTATATATGTTGGAAAGACAACGATCCAATCAAGCCACTGTCCTCATCCCTTATTCAATCAAGCAGTAAGCACACATCTCTTGGTGATTGATATCAAATGTACCATTATTTATAACATTCCATTGCCATTAAATAACTCTATTATTAATTTATTATAGTCATTTTTAAAGTATTTTTCAGTATGGGTTTTAGAAACTGAACACACTTGATATGTATACCCTAAATTAAAAATATTAAAATGGTAAGTAATGGATGTATCTTACCATTTAAAAGAATTTAAATAATTCTTTTTTTTTTTTTTTTAAAGAAAAATGTTTCCTTCCGTAGTGAACTAGTTTTTATTATTTTATATTTATAATAATTGAATCCTGGTTGGATTTTAAATATTAAATATGGCAATTGATTATACATGAAATGTGTTTATATATATATAAGGTATATCATTGAATTGATGTATTGTTTTAGGTATGAAACAAATATTGATAATAAATTTTGGGGGAATCTTGGAGATTGACAACTGAAGAAATAAATTATGATGAATTTAGAGGATAAGTCACGCATGTTGTATGGAAAATTAAAAAAAGGACAGTAATAGATATATTATTAAATTAATAACAGAATGTTTTATATGGTAGGAACAGAGAAGATTATAGAAGGAGCAGGGAAATAATTAAAAAGAAAAAGACAAGAGGACAATTAAAGTAACAAAACAGAAACATATAGGCCGGCCAGCTCTGCATGTCTCCATCTTATTTAAAACCTTAGTTGTGTTGACACTCCATATTTCACTAAATTCTGATATTTCTTTAGTGGTGTTTGCAGATGAGCGCCACGTATATTAGTTACTGTAATTGAGTGTGTGTGTATATATATAACATATTTGGGTAACATAGGAGTAGGAAACACAGAAAGAGAGGAAAAACAGTGGGTGTTTTTGTTGGTATTGATATGGAGTTCCTGAAGACGATGATGATGAGTTCGATTTGGGGAGTTTTAGTATTGATGTTTTGTGGTTTGATGAGTGTAAAATGGGTTCTTAAAAGAGCAAATTGGTGGTTGTATGAGAAAAAACTGGGTGAAAAGCAGTACTCTCTACCTCCAGGAGATTTGGGGTGGCCTCTCATTGGGAATATGTGGTCTTTTCTTAGAGCTTTCAAGTCATCAAATCCTGATTCTTTCATGGAAACCTATGTTAACAGGTGTGATCTTCTCTCTCTTTTTTCTTTTTTCTTTTTTCATCTGTATCTGTATCTGTATCTGTATCTGCGTCTGATGAAATTGGGTAGAGTTTGAGTTTTAATTAAGGGTAGATTGAGAATAGAGTTAATTAGTATTGTATTGTTGGCATGATGTTGAAAGCAGCAGTTTGGTTTGGACTACTATATAACTCAGACTGTGTGTGTCTTGTCTATCATCTCCTTCTACCCTACATTGTCTTTGTCTTAATACTTAGTGACTATGGAATCAAACTTGTTATACCATGGATGTGTGTGATCACTTTATCATAACTCTTCTCAGTATTATCAAAATTAAAACTTTTTAACATGAACCATCATAATTATCCCCAACCCTAAGTTATTATTGACGATTCCATGTGATGAGATGTGGATTTTAATAAGATAAGGTAATTATTGTAGTTCTTTTGTTAACAGTTGCACTGCCCTTCCTATCCAAAATTTCCATTCTACTTCCGTGTCACTTTCTACCTGTCTCCACATTCATCCATTTTCCATTTTTTTACTTCTTTATTTTAGATTATTATTTCTAATTTTTAAACTAATTAATGTATATTTATGCTTAAATGAATGATAATCCTTTCTTTACTAAAAAGTTTCAAGTTCATGAAGCATTAACTTATTAGTGGGCTTTCATGGCATTAGTCAAAGATGAATGAACATATCCCATCTTATTTATGTTTTTATTTGGGTGTTGATGAGAATAATCAAATCAATCGTACAACTGTTCCACATTTGGATATGACTCAAAGTGTTTCATCATTCATGTCCCCATTCATGTCCCACTACTTATCCATTAGATTTCAAATTCACATAAAACAGCGAGGTCTTATTTTGAAGATAGTAAATTTAATACCAGTTGAGTAGATGGAATTATAAGACTAACAGTAGCAGTGCACATAATTAAAATTTCTTGTTTTGATGGTTTTTAATGTGTATATATATATATATAAATAATATATATATATCTATATAAATGCAGATATGGGCGTACTGGAATGTACAAAGCATTCATGTTTGGGCAACCGAGCGTGATAGTAACAGTGCCGGAAACATGCAAAAGAGTATTAACGGATGATGATGCGTTTAAGCCGGGTTGGCCAATCTCCACTATGAAACTGATTGGAGAGAAATCATTCATTGGGATTTCTTTTGAAGAACACAAGCGTCTCAGACGTTTAACTGCTGCTCCAGTTAATGGTCATGAAGCATTGTCTGTCTACTTGGAATACATTGAAAGAAGTGTAAAATCAGCTTTGGAAAAATGGGCAAACATGGAACAAATCGAATTCTTAACTCAACTCAGAAAGCTTACTTTTAGGATAATAATGTACATTTTTCTTAGCTCTGAGAGTGACCATGTCATGGAGGCTTTGGAAAGGGAATATACTGCACTTAACTACGGGGTTAGAGCCATGGCGATCAATGTTCCTGGATTTGCTTACCATAAAGCTCTTAAGGTGCTCAATTCAAGCTTCTTCGCTATTATTATATATGTTATTACTCTACCTACTACGTAATATTAACTAATTAATTATTATATATTTCAGGCTCGGAAAAATCTTGTTGCTATTTTACAATCTATAGTGGACGAGCGAAGAAATCAGAGGAAGGGCGACAACTACAACAACAACAATAATTTGGGAAAAAAGAAGGACATGATGGATGCCCTTCTCGATGTTGAAGATGGAAATGGCAGAAAACTGGAAGATGAGGAAATCATTGATGTTCTTGTCATGTACTTGAATGCAGGGCATGAATCTTCTGGTCATACCATGATGTGGGCTACTATTTTCTTGCAAGAACACCCTGAATTTTTAGAAAAAGCTAAGGTATTTTACTAGGACAGTTTATATTAATTTTCAGTAATTAATATGAGATGCTGATTGCATTTCATCATATTAATATAGGCAGAGCAAGAGAGGATTGTTAAAAAGAGGCCACCTACACAGAAGGGTTTGACTCTTAAAGAAATCCGAGAAATGACTTATCTTGACAAGGTATACTAGTATGATTCAATAGATGGATGGGTAGCTCTTTTAACTAAATCTAAATCTTTTTGTTTGAAGGTGATTGATGAAACTCTTCGTGTAGTAACATTCTCACTCACTGTTTTTCGAGAGGCAAAATCAGATATCAATCTAAGTGGTAAGTTTAGAAGGCATGTTATATTATTGTATTAGAAATCAAAGCACATGAAGATTAACTAAGAAATGATATGATTTTGATTGGGTTTCAGGCTACACCATTCCCAAGGGTTGGAAAGTTCTGGTATGGTTCAGAAGTGTTCACTTCGATCCTGAAATTTATCCAAATCCAAAAGAATTCAATCCTGACAGATGGGAGGTAAGTAGCTATGTCGAAGTCGTTTAGTTATATGGATGGTTCATATATATATATATATATGTAAAATAATTTGATTGACTGCATTTAGGGTTATACTCCCAAAGCTGGAACTTTCCTTCCTTTTGGAGGAGGAAGCAGGTTGTGCCCTGGAAATGATCTGGCCAAACTTGAAATTGCTGTATTTCTTCACCATTTTCTCCTGAATTATGGGTAAGTTGGATTGACTATTAGTAAGATTTATTAAAAAGGAATTGCAGTAACTGATTGAATATGGTGTTTACACTTTACAGGGTGGAACGACTTAATCCTGGATCTCCCGTTATGTATTTACCCCATTCAAGGCCCAAAGATAATTGCATGGCAAGACTTAGGAAATCATATTCAGCTATGTAGAAAAGACATGGGACATTAAATAAAAGCATGTTCTTGCTTCCTTCTTAATAAAATTATAATAAAGGATTTTTAATTATTCTTGTGTTTAATTATTTAAATACTTATTATGATGATTAAGAATAAAAAAGAAATACGTTTTAAATCAATGGGTATGTAACTATGTATTGGGTAGCTATATTTTAAAACTAAAATAAGTGAGTCAAATTCAGTTCTACTGCTCGTGGGCTATACGCGCTCCCCCTTACGTAGGCCCATTTTTCCGCAATCCAATCTCAATTAACTATTTTTATGTGGGTCCTTAATGGGCCTCCATTCCTTCCCTTTGATTTTCACATTCGTGTTTCTTTTTTATTTTCAAAATTCAATTTAATATAATATAGGACCCCTTGCTTCATTATTATTATCTTATTCTATTTCACTATCCTATAAAAAAAACTCAAAAATACATTAATTTCAATATTCTTAAAATTTAATTCTACTTTATTTAACTCTTAAAACATTAATAATTACTTTTTTTTGTTAAATATAACCCAATTTTACTTTTTTTTTTTTCTTCTAAAATACGATTTTAAAAAGTAAACCGCCAAACCATGGTTCGGTCAGCTAGCAAAGGTTGTGAAAGTGTGAAAAGCTGCTCCTATTTCTGACCTTGATATTAATATGGTTTGACCAAACATATGAACAACATACATACATCTTCCACTACGTAGGAATATATATATTTATATAACATGATCCAACGCAGCACATCACTTGCACTTATCGCGGCATGATTTTGATACTTTCTAATTAAATGTTTTCATGTATGAGCAAGCAATTAATATTTCTTTATCTTTACTAAGTTGATGGATGTATAAGAAAAGAAAAGAGTCAGCGAAGGCGCTCAACAGCCCAGTCGAGTGCTGAGGTAGAGAACATGCAAAACCTCGCAGTCATCGCCCTTGTTTTGAATTTCTAATTCGCAAATGCACCTTGTCTTCCGCAATCTCATCTACTACAAATACATTCATACATAATTATAATTATATTGGTCATCCCCAACTTACCGCTACATTATCATTCATTTAAGGAATTGGTTTTTTACCGCCTTACCAACAATTCATATACTGTATACCAACTCATGTTGTAGCTTCCCAGGACTAGCATATCTAAGTAAAATATTTTACTTTTGATTATTTCCTCCACATATATACATCTGATAACAGGGCTCTTCCATACAACTTAAGAAAAGAGATGCAGACGGAAATGGAGATGAAAGATTATCCATTGGATTTCAGATGCCCCATATCAATGGAGTTAATGACAGACCCTGTCACCATCTGTACGGGCGTTACCTACGAACGGAAGAACATCGAGAAATGGTTCTTCATTTACAAGAAGAAAACTTGTCCTGCTACCATGCAATCCATCAACACTTTGGACATCACACCCAATCACACTCTCAACCGTCTCATCCAAGCTTGGATTAACAAACAACAATCCCCACCAACTTCATCCATCCATCATCACGATTTCATCTCTTTACTCTCAACCCTCCATTCTACTCCATTCAAAGTAACTTCTCTAAAGAAACTCCGATCAATTCTCCAAACGGGTGACCATACCAAAGCTGAATTCATCCGATCTGGTGGTGTCCAAATTGTTGTTCAAATACTTGTACAGATTCTTGTCGAAAACTCAGATTTTGTTGCCTTTAGAGCCAGTGAGGAAGCTTTAGGTGTTCTGCATCAACTCCCCTTACCGGAAGTGGAACACGAGAAAGTCTTGGAGATTTTGACCAACCGGGAATCCCTGATGTCCATGGTAATCATTCTTCAAAGTGGAAGCGCTGAAGCCAGACTTTACGCTATTACTATATTTCAAAAGATAGCCAAAACTGATTTTAACTGGAATTCCATGATAGAAGATCAAGGTATTGATTTCTTCAAATCATTGTTAGAACTAGTATCGGATGAGATATGCAGCAAGGCTAGCTCATGTGCGTTAGATGTTCTCATTGAGATATTAAGTTCGTCAAAGAAGAGTCGATTAAGGGCCATCGAAGTGGGGGCAGTTTCTGTCCTCATCGAGCTCTTACCAGAGTCAAGCGGATCTAAGTGCGAGAAAGTAATGGTTTTGATAAAATTAATGTGTGAAAGTGCTGAGGGAAGAATGTGTTTTGTGGGGCATAAAATGGGGATTCCAGCAGTGTCAAAAAAATTATTGCATGTATCGAATACAACAACTAAGATGGGGGTGAAGATACTGTGGTTGATTAGTAGTTTTCAGCAAAGTGAAAGGGTTTTGGAGGAAATGTTGATATATGGATCGGTGAAGAAGTTAGTGGCTTTGCTGCATATGGAGGGTAGATCCTCAACCAAGGAGAAGGTGATCAAGATGTTGAAGTTGCATGCAAATTCTTGGAGGCGATACCCTTGTTTCCCTTGTGATTTGAAGGAGTATTTGGGTTTACTACTTTCTTCCTAATTATTATTTGTAATTCAGATCATATCACTACTACGGTGCTTAATTCTGTGTTTTCATTATCTTATATTACTAAAGAAAGAAATTGGAATGACAAGCAAGGTTACTATTAATTTCAGATGGAGAAATTCATTCCATTAATGTATTCGCTTCGGCATATTCTTTCCTTATTACGTGTTGATGAACCACACAAGCCCATTCAACCCCCTAACTTTGACCAGTGATGGCTTCGTAATTTTATATATGCGAAATAAGGTCACACCCCTGCACTTCCACATCTTAATTAACAACTCAACTGAGTTCAAGGTGACAGTTAAAACAAAAAAAAAAAAAAAAACCCCTTCGATTATGAAGAAGAAAGTGATTATCAGTCAACTAAACAGTGTGCAAGGCAGCCTATATTAAGATGCTCAGAAACAAATGAGCTGAGTATGGCAACCAGAATCTTAGTTGAACCACCAAAACAACAATCCTAAAGGTTATTGCTTTTGTGACCATACAATGATGTCTAGAGTAGGTTGCCTCGCTTATTTATAAATTGACTACAAAACACCATATAATGCTAAAACTCAATTACCATCTTATAAATGAATAATCAAATTATTTTGCATGGGAGTTGGAACGTCCCAATGTCCTGCAATCAGCCTTTGCTTCAGTTCTCTCAAACTCATATCCATGGCTGGAACATAGCCAGATGACATATGCAGAATCAGTCCATGTTATTGTTGGACAATACTTCCATCATGTGACGGCACGAATACTAAGTCCCACCCAAAATCAACCTAATGAAATCATCAACAAATGCCAAATGAAGCAATCCGTGAACACATAGGAGCATATGACAATTAACGTAATGGGCGAGAAAGTAGCCAGTAGCTTTAATCTTTAAACATTAAAATTTCCTACCTAACAAATTAAGAAGCGGCAGGATTATCTCATCTCTCTCAAGGAAAGATATCACGAGCAATGATAATATCTAATTATCATCTCTCTTTATTTAACTGTAATTTACACTATATTTTATCCCCTTCACTTCATATATGTTCAGTGCTATAGAACTCAGCAAACTTATTTTTCTGGCCTGTTCATAAATACCCTGCAGAATTCTGATGAAGGTACAAGTTTGATTGAAATAACTGCAACACTATTTTCTCAGGAATGCTTTTAAAGTTTTGCAATGGCAGAAGCAGGCAAGTTAAACCTAGCAGGAAGCTTTAGATCTTCCCACTCTTCATCATTCACTGGGGAGAAGTACTGGTCAACCATACTGTCACTGACAAGCTCCAACTTAGATGGCTGCCACTGAATAGGAAAGAAGAGATCCCCAAACCCCAATAAAGAAGTGTCAATTTACTTATAGAAACCTAATCTAATAAAAATTCATGGAGAATGTAATCTAAAATGCAAGGATAGAGAAAGAAAATGTTCACAAACCTTCGGGTTCTTATCCTTGTCTAATAGTATAGCTCTGCAACCCTGCATTCAAAGATGAGTTTTAAAGACAATCACATGAAATAAAATATTACAGAAAACGTATTTGTGTAGGCTAAAAACCTCCAAAAAGTCCTTGCTAATTTCTCCCCTCATGACATGACAAACCATTCTATACTCACGAACAAGGCATTGACCAACACCTTGGAGCCTTCCTTCTCTAATCTGAAATGACATTAACAAAATTAACTTTAAGCTCAAACTTACAAATGCTTCAAACAAGTTTTCACATTCCAGCATTTACCCATTTTGGGCTGAAGTTCTTAACATGCAACAGAATACTTGTTTATGCAACTTATCATCTGGCCTTAATGAGCTTAAACAGTAGTATAATGTATTTATCCAAAAGCAAAATGGCCACTACATGATGGACCAAATTGGACCCTCACGACTGACCTAGCCACTTCATGGCAGTATCAACTCAATGAGAGTTGACAAATGCAATAGACATTAAAGAATACAATTTATCAGTCATCTCTCTGCAAATTCTTAAAAATGAATGCACAATTTCTCATTTAATGATGATAAGGTTAAGTACGACATTTCTGCTGATTGCAGAATCATATTCAACAGCAAGACGAGTTTAATGAAAAAATCAATCCTATTTTCTTTAGTTGGAAGGATTTGAACCTTAGACTTATCCCGACTCCACCTCTTAAAACCTGAGTGATCCCAACGCAATACTAGCAAATGCACGTCATAAAGAACTATTCAAGTTGCACAGGCATAACTAATAATAAGAGTATAAAAGCAGTGTAATTTATTTAATGAATAGCTATAGCTACAGAAACATAAATATAGTAAACATCCCAAGCACCAGAAAAACTGACAGTTTTATATTCATCTTCAGGCATTAATCAGATGAAGTAATTAAAAGCATGCTACACACACCGATCTGAGAGAAATTTTAAGACTAGTTGGTGAAGCCTTCTTCAGCGTCTGAACCGTGTCGGATATCCATGCGTCTGCCTCATCTATGCCTACCCTCTCCTACATATTGAGAAGCAAAAGAGATCCATTTATCAACAAAAAGTTTACCTATAATCTGTAAGAACTCCCACTAAGTAAAAGGAAACAATTACAGAACAAAGAAATGGCAAGAAACTCTCTAGGATATATTATTATTTAGTAAATACTCATTTACTTAGAAAACCCAAAAAGGTGGGACAACTCAAGTACCGTACATAGGACAGAAAAATTCCCAACCCTCCAACCCACCCCTCTCGCCCCCGAACAACCGAAAAAATGAAAAATAAATAAAAAAAGAACTTGGAAGTATACTAGAAAGAGAATATATTAAGGTTTTCCATACAGAAGCAATCCATATCATCCATAATTCCATTTCATAACTCACCAGGGAAGATAAAATTTCCTCAACTGTTCTTCGAGAAAAGCACTTATCAATAACATCCATCCTGTAGACAAATAACCACTGGAAATGAGGATCAGCCAAACACACAGAAATTCTAGATTGGCTATCTTATATTCCAACGAATTTATTCTGCATATATTCGTTACAAATTGCACACAAGGATAGACAAAAAATAGTAAGAAATCAATAATTGAACTAGAACAGGCACCCTTAATTATAGCAACAAGTCTCACTCCTAAGTACTGTATCATTTTTACTTTATGTAACCTTGAAAATGCGTAAGTTAGCATGTTGAGACAGACAGTCCTCTCTCTCTCTCTCTCTCTCTCTCTCTCTCCATATGATTATAATAATAGGATAATTGCAAAATTGTTACTTTAAGGACTGACCCGACCGATATTCATAATCCTTGAATAAGACTACAATAATAAAATAAGCTGAAACATATAATTCTACATCAATAAAATATAATTGCAATTATGAAAGAAAACCTAACCGATGATAAGCACTATGGTCTTTCAAATACGGTTGCTGAGTATATTTATCAATAATCTCTGAAATGACTGTCGGATCACTTGAATCTATCTTGCACAATGCTTCTTCCAAAGAAGATAATCTCTGGTAGCCAAGAAAAAGAAGTAAGCAGCAGCATCCAAATGGTATAAGTCCTCAAATGATGAAAGCAATCAAATTTAAGGATGCATGGCTTGGAGTTAGAGAGCCAAGGTGCACCCACTCAACCACTCTTTAGTTATTGATATGATAAACAGTGTAAAACTTATCAAAGTAAAAAGATGTCTTCCCAGTTCTCTAAATTTAGGTAAACTTGAGTTGGAATTTAAAAGCTAATTGCAAAACCAATACCAGTGCCTGTGAGGGTTAAGCTTCATATTCTTGTAAAACCACACCAGGTTAAATATCCCATTAACTTCAATAAATCAATTAATTTTGTGAATAGCTACATCCTTACAGTTGAACTTCAGTAAGTATACAGCTCAATAACAATAATCATAAAGGAAGCATACTGATGAGGGAACAAAGTGAGTTGCAAGGCCACATGCAAGCATTTCAGCACCATCCAACCTTGCACCAGTAAGACCGACATATTCTCCTGTCAAAGATAGTAGAAGATAGTTATGTAAAAATAAAATCCTCAAGTTTAATGTAAGCTACAAAAATGATTGAATATATAACGCACAATAGACAGCACAGATAAGAAGCCCCCCTCACCAAATTCTGTGAAAGATACCGTGGAAATTAAGGGATTTTGTTTTTTGCTTTCTAATACAAGATTTGAGAATAAGGTCTGTGATCAAGAGGTTAGATGTAGGTTTGGGGATCAACAAGAGGGGAAGTTCACTTCTCCCTTGAACTGAAGAGTTCTCCAAACGGTGTGCGAACTCATGACTTTACCCTCCACCTTACTATTATAGGAGGAAGAAATGCCATCTGACCCAAAGGCTGCAGGCAACTAAAATCCTACATACTATAGAAGAATAGGACATAATATTACCTTTGGAAATCGTCACAAATTGAAGAATTTGTACATACCATTAAATTAAGTTACAAGGATGTTCAAGAAAATCTAGAATATAACTAGCCTTACCAAAGAAACCTGGTAGTCTTGACAGGAAGTAAGAGGCACCAACATCTGGGAAGAGTCCTAAAGCTGTTTCTGGCATTGCAAAGACCTGCGAAACATCATACACAAAGACATGTGATTAAGAAAATTAAAGCCATTAAATTTTAAGACAACCTATATTTAGCTTCTCTCCAATTATTTGGCCAGCATTCCTACAGTTGCACTAGAAAGAAAATAAAATCAGTACCATTGAATGCCAACAACTATACAGTAACAGTATGAATAAATCATCACAAATAATCAATATTAGTCTGAGTTGCTGAGATCCATTAAAAAAATCAAATTATTTGAAGCTTGAAATTAAGGGAGACATAGTACGTACTGAATTCTCAGTTGCAACACGGAATTTACCATGTATTGAAGCACCAGCCCCACCTCCCATGACAATTCCGTTTAGAAATGAAACCTTGAATGATTGGCAAGCCAAGTATAAGAATAAATTTTTACTTACAGAAGAAGTAATGACTAAAATTAATAAGAATGCGAATAAAAATTTGTTTAGCAGACTGGGTCACCTGGGGTTTAGTGAATGTTGCCATCAAGAAATTTAAGAAGAATTCCTTGTAAAAGAAATTTGCACCTGATCTCCATCCACCTACGGGACCCAAAAAGTAGCATGTAAACTAGCTTCATTCAAACAATTGAGACGGTTATACTACAATAATTCAAAATTCATATACTTTGATTAATGTCACGAACGACTGCGGCAACATCACCACCGGCACAAAATGCTCTACCTTTTCCCTTACAAACAAATATCAAATTTTCAGTAACAAATAGATTCTAATTTAAGAAATTGAAGAGCAATGAAACCAAAAAGGAAATACCTTGACAATGATAAGCTTGACACTAGAATCATTCTCATAACGCAGTAAAAGTTCCAATAGCCGAGAAATCTAGAATTGCAATTAGATGAAATCTTAATGAATAAGAAAGAAAAAAGATTATGAAAGATGAGGAAGAAATCATATTCATACCATCTCGAATGAAAGGGCATTCAATTGCCTAGGCCTGTTCAGAGTCAATATTCTAACCAATGACCTCTTTTCTTCTACAACCTGTTGAACCAAAAACAAAATCACTCAATCAAAGCTAAGCAGCAACTAAATCCATAAAGAGAAAAGAAGAGAAAAACCCACCTGCTCTTGCTGTGCCATTTTGATTGTTTGTTGCTGCTCAAGTGCAATGATTACTCACAACTTATTGAGTTGTTTAGGACTTATTTTGCTTTGAAGATGATGAGTATTTTCTTCTACGATCGACTGAAACAAAAGGTACCTGTGGCCTAATGGATAACACGTCTCACTTCTAATCAGGCAATTGTCACTTCGAGTGCCTTCGGGTATGGGATATATTGAGGTGAATGTGAAAAATTTTCAACAGCAATTTTTTTTTTTTTTAAAATTTTTTACATCCTTAAAAGATTAAAAATCGAGGTATATATGAAAGTTTTTAAAAGTAACAGGGTGTGTTGATTTTTCGTCGAACTTGAGGGGAGGTGCTTGATATTTTCTCGTATTTATATCCAGTGGTATCGTTTTGATTAGGGTGGATTCATGGATCGATTGAGAGAGATGGAGGAATTGGTAGAATTAGATGAGAAGAAGTTGTTGGCATGCTGTGGAAGTAGCCAATTCGCCAAGGAGATGGCCTTGGCGTCTCCTTTTCCCTCTTTAGATCAAGCCATCTCTGCCGCCCGACACATCTGGTTCAATAAGGTAATATCTCTATCTTATTATCATTACAATTTTATTTCTCTGTTTTAAATATTTTATTTTACAATTTGTAGGTTGATGTGAATGGCTGGCTTCAAGCATTTTCGGCTCATCCTCAGATCGGTCAATCAACTTCTTCAGAGTTTTGTTTCTTGCTCTTTTCTCTCTCTATATCTTTCTACTTCTACTGCTACTTTTGCATATTTAAAAAGTGATTTGTGTAGGTGGAGTAAAGGAGAGCAATCCACTGCTTTTGCCACTGCTAATGATTCTACTTTGCGGGTTAGAATGATGTTTTCTCAACTATCTAATATCAATTCACTTTAATTTTTATCTATTCAATTTCTAATCTGTCCACTTTTTCAGGAACTAGCCGATTGGAATGCTCGCTATATACAAAAATTTGGATTTATATTTATTATATGTGCATCTGGGAGGACTATTGCGGAAATAGTTTCTGAACTGAAGGTAAACCATCAACTAGTAAAAATAAATTTCTCGTGATATTTCCCTAGCTTCTTTTTTTACCTAATCAGATTTCACCCTAACCACTTTTCTGCTGACGTTCACAACCGTGAAATTCATGTTCTTTCCTATCAGCTTTGCCTAATTTATTTCACAATTAATGCATTCAATATCACTTGGTGCTTTATTCTGCTTTCTTTATCATTGCTCTTTGCAGAAACGATATTCAAACAGACCCATTATTGAGTTTGAAATCGCTGCCCTGGAGCAAATGAAGATAACTGAATTGCGCTTAGCAAAACTTTTCTCTGCTAAACCAATAGCTGCTTCCACAGATACTGCCGATGGTGCGAAGAAAGCAGAAGGTACTTCTCCTTACATCAAACATCACGATTTTTATATGTTTAACTGTTGCTAGCCCCAATGCTGCTCTCTTTTATTCCTGTGGATCAATTGGTTGCCATAATGATGAGGAAATAAACACTTTGGACACGATGTGACTAACATGGTTCATTTTTGGAAGAAAAAAAAAAAAAAAAAAATGGGGTAACCTTTGTTTTTCAGGTCTAAAAATTCCATCTACCCACTGTGCAGACCAATGGCAATGAATAATTTTTTTCCATATATCCATTGATTTGGTTGATTACCTCTTGACTGTGTAATCTGTAGTATATATATATATATATATATATTATATTATATATATATATATATATATATATATAAAAGAAAGGTTTTATGAAACACAAATGATGAAATTAATTTGAAGTACAGATTAGTGACATAGGTTGTCCTTATCCTTGTAGAATTAAGTTTGCCATTCAAGGAAAGTGAAAAAGTAGATGAAAGAAAAATATGTGCAATGATAACTGATTTTCTTTCTTTTCCAACTACCAATTTATTCTCAGTTCTAACTTCTAATAGATGCCAACTCCTAAATTATTCTATTCCCAGGACAGGTCTCTTGTCCTTGCTTGCATTGCAACTGTTTCAGTTAATGTTAATGTTGTTCTTTTTTCAACTCTAGAAGATCGTATGAGTGTCATTGGAGGACACTTGGCCCTTACTTCTGAAACTTTAGCGGGAAAAACATCCCAAATCCCAAGTCGAACCCGACCACCCATCACAACCCATGTGTTGGATGTTTCTCAGGGGTCCCCAGCTGCTGGTGTGGACGTGCTTTTAGAGATATGGAAAGGCACACAACCACGTCCCTTGTTTGGTGATGCAGATAAAAGTGGGTGGGTAGTCCAGGGGTCATCAACAACAGATAAAGATGGGCGAAGTGGTCAACTGATGAGCATTGTTGAGGATTTGAACCCGGGATTTTACAGGATAACATTTAACACTGGTACATATTTTCCTGCGGGATTCTTTCCCTATGTTTCTATCGTGTTTGAGATCAAAGAATCACAGCAGCGAGAACACTTTCATGTTCCTCTGCTGCTTTCACCATTCTCGTTCACTACTTACCGTGGAAGCTAGAAATTTATGGTTTTGGTAGGCAGTTGACAAATGAAACTCCATTTCTTTTGCAGATATGTATTAGGAGTGTGTTGTAATACAGTATGTCAAGTTACTGTTATTTATCCATAAAATAAACAAACAGATAATATAAAGATTGCTTCCTTATGATGGTCAAAAAGCATTGAGTTATTCCTTGCCCGTGTCTCTGCCCCTAGAGTTAGTAAGTTTTTGGGTACTTCTACCCAAACGTCGCAGCAAGCCATAACATGTTCACACTTGGCGATGTTACTAAAATGTGTTTGGTTAGGGGTAATAGGGGATTATTGAGGTAATCTTATATTATTTGATTACCACGTTTAGTTGTCAAGTAATATAAGATTTCAATAATCTTTTAATACCAATAGTAGTTATTGTTGGTAATATAGAAGATAATCTGATTACCTCAATTTTCTTAGTTATTTTAAGATTATTAGGTAATCTTATTTTTGTTACAATTTTACCCTTTAATAATCAAATTTTAGGACAATAATACCCTTGTTTTAAAAATAATTTACAAAAATACAATCGACTATTTTATCCTCATATAGAAAGTATTTAAGACCTAAATACCTTTGAAATTTAAGAAAATTACCAAAGGGTGGTGGTTGGATCTGGCCACCATCGCCAGCTGTCGGCAACCACCGCTGGCGGCGACAGAATGGCTCACAATCGGCCTTATCTAGTCGACCATGTGCTGCTAAGGCTGTTTTTGCCAGATCTAGCCTTTCACGACCAAATCTCCATTGTTGTTGCCATTGGCGGTGGTGGCAGGTTGTCGGTAGTGGCTTGGGGTGGGTGGGGGTGTTTTTGTTAAGTTTTAAATTTTTTTTGTTACTGGGGTGTTTTAGTTAAATCTAAAATGTAGGGGGTTAAAAAATTATGGAAAAAATAATATTATATTAATATTAAAAAAGGAGAGTAATTTAGTAATTTATATAATATACCCACCAATTTATTTCTCTTAGCCAAACATATTAATATAATATACTTACAAATTTATTTCAACCAATCAAACACATTTTCTTAAACATTCTCAGTAATTCAAAGTAATTTATCTTTCCATTAATATAACATTCTCAATAATACAACATTCCTTGAACCAAACACACCTTATATGTTATATTTATTTGACAAGGATCTATCCAAGAAAGGACCACTATTTGGATGCAATGATATTATATGCACAAACAAATTTTACAAAGATTTGTGTATTGACTAATGTGACAGAAAATGAATAGAAGAGTGAATGCAAAAAGTCAAATTCACATGTTCACTATTCCATTCATTTTCTACAACATCAGTTTATACACAAATTTTTGTAAGATTTGTTTGTACATCTAACATTATTCATTTAGATATGACATTGTATAAAAATTGATAAATGATATCCAATAATCATCACTGGGTAGTCTGATGGTAAAAGAGCAAATGAGTCAAGCCATTTCTCAATCTCACTGGCGAGAGGCCATGTCCAATGAGCTCACTGCTCTAATGAAACATGGGACTTCGGACTTAGTTTTACCACCTTCAAACTGTAAACCCGTGGGCTGTAAGTGGATATTTTGATTTAAAAGGAAAGCTGATGGGTTAGTGGACAGATTCAAAGCCCGCCTAGTTGCTAAGGGTTATAATCAACGTCCGGGTGTTGATTATAAAGAAACATTTAGCCCTGTGGTCAAACCAGCAACTATTAGAGCTGTATTATCTATTGCAGTCATGAATGGATAGGATTTGAGGCAAATGGATGTCAACAATGCCTTTCTAAATGGTGAATTAATTGAGACTGTTTTATGGTGCAACCTCCGGGGTTCAAAGATCTTGCCAAACCAAATCATGTTTGCAGGTTAAAAAAGGCGATCTATGGACTTAAACAAGCCCCACGGGCTTGGTACACAACACTCAAAAATGCTATTCTTCAGCTGGGTTTTCAAAATTCCAAGGCAGACTCCTCTCTCTTTATTTACAGTCAAGGATCAAATCTTTGTTATTTTCTGGTTTATGTTGACGATCTTGTCATTACCAGAAATAATTCCTCTCTTGTGGCCAACATTATTAAGCAGCTGAGTGACATGTTTTCTCTCAAGGATATGGGTTCTCTTCATTTTTTCTTGGGGATTGAAGTCATCTTACTGGGGCAGGATTATTTCTCTCACAACATAAATATGTTCGTGAACTTTTAGCCAAAACAAGTATGAGTGATGCAAAGGATGTCTCAACACCTCTCTCTACCACTCAATCGCTTCAATTGGTTGATGGCACTGCTGCTGTGGACAGCTCAGAGTTTCGTAGAATTATTGGCAGCCTTCAATACCTCTCCTTGACACGTCCAGATATCTCATTTGTAGTCAACAAACTCTCTCAGTTTATGCACAAGCCGACTACAAATCACTGGACAGCAACCAAAAGGCTCCTACGTTACTTAAAACAAACCATTTTTTATGGTATTCAGCTCCACAAAGCTGGAACTCCAGTATTAAGGAAATACTCTGATGCCGATTGGGTTGGAAATGTGGATGACCCAACGTCAACCTTTGCATATATTAGTTTTTTGGGATCTAATCCCATTTCTTGGAGCTCAAAGAAACAAAGAGCAGTTGCACGATCCACAACAGAGGCTAAATACCGATCATTAGCGAATGCGGCTTCTGAGACAATGTGGTTATCCACTCTTTTCAAAGAACTCGCATTTCTAGTCAAGGAATCTCCCCAGCTGTTATGTGACAATCTTGGAGCCACACATCTCAGTTTTAACCCAGTCAATCATTCACGCATGAAACACATTCAAATTGACCTTCACTTTGTGCCTGACTTAGTGCAAAAAGGAAGCCTTCGAGTAAGACATGTACATACTTAAGACCAACTAGCTGATCTGTTAACGAAGCCACTGTCAAAACAACACACGGAACTGCTAAGTAACAAGATTGGTCTTGCCGATGGAAGCTCAATCTTGCGGGGGCGTATAAGGGAAGCATGCGTGGATTTTGCTCAAATCAAGACAGAGCATATCTAGCCTAAAATCATGTCAAATATTCTGTCATCAACTCTGCATTTGAAAATGATTCTAAATTTGAATTGTATTGCTGTATATTGTAACAGTAGCACAATTTTAGCTGTACCATTTATATGTTTCCTAAATTAGCTTCTCCAGTAATCTGTATATAACATAGAAATTGTATCAATGAAAAGGGTGGAAATTTTTCATTGAATTTACGCCAATATCTTTCTTTAATACTTAACAACTCCAAGTTCGTGACTGATCCAAGCTTAAGCCGACATATTGCGAATGTGCATTTGGTTGGATATTTATGAGTACGCTAAAATAGACCAAAAATGCTAGCATGGTCTTTCAATTTGTTTCAGTAGCATGGAACTTATAACTTTTGTTTAAACGGATGAGAATTATTGATAGCTAAAAGCATTTCCAAATTCTTTATTATAAAGAGTTTATTCATAAAAATAAAAGTCTAACAAACTCTTGATCTTTAAAATATAAATTAGAGAGTGAGTTTGACTCTCTATCTTTAGAGAATCAAATTTTATTCTCTATCCTAATTTTAATTAATAAACTATAAATTCTTATACATTTTTTTTTATTAATTCTCTCTCTCATTAAGTTTCTTTCTTAAAACTAAAAAATATCTTCATTAAATTTAAAAAATCGATTAGATTTGAATAAAAATTATATTTTTTATATTTTAAAATTAATAAAAATATTCTTTATTCATACGAAAAATATTCTTAAAAAATAAAGATGACCACTAGATATTAAAACTCCTTAATTACTGTCATAACATGACCAATAATCTGCATCAGGCAGTCAAAGTCTTGTCCATTACTTACGAAAGGTTGACGTGCCTGCTCTGTACCATACATAAACCGAAAAGTGAGGATGAATGCATGAAAGTGTACAAATTGGACAATCTGACGTGTTTTTTATGAGAAGTGAAGTTATTTGAGCCAAATTAAAATTCAATTCTTTGTAAGTCCCTTTAAGAAATATATTATTTTCTGATTAATCACTGAACCTGGTCGCGTATTAATCATGCCTGGGTGGTTTTGATGTTCATTGTCTTTGTAATTATATAGTAACAAAAAGATCATGGAAAATGAGGAGCAAGAAAAAGAATTGTTATGCCCAAGGACCAGGGTTGGCATAAGCATATGTAAGTAGAAACCAATAAAAATTCAAGAAGATTTTCTGCCATCTGAATGCAGCAATTGTAAATATATTTACATTCCAATATTCATATAAAAGTTCATAATACAATCAATTATAAACATCTAAATACTCATGGAATATATGCGGAAGTAATTTACAAACCTCCAACCATAGTAATTGTTGTTTAGTCTTCTTGCTGTTTTAGAATACAGAGTCTTTCACTGACTGCAATTTTAGAGCAATGGTTTTGGGAATTAAAAATGAAAAAATTGCATCAAATGGGGACCTGTAAAATCTCTTTATAAATACAATTGTCTTTCCATCAAAGACAACTGCCTAAGAGACACATCCGTATATATTTCTTATAATCCATATCAACATAAAAGTATAGGACCACATTGTAATTATATTAAAAGTGTAGGACCATAATATAATTATATAAGTAAAAGTCTAACAGCCACGTCCCACAAGGACAAGAGGGGTAAGACCATCGTTAGTAAGGCAGGTGAACGCCAGGCCTATGAGTGGCTGGGAATTGTCCACCTGCTGAAGCTATACGCGATTTAAGGATATCTCCCGTAAAGACAACTAATGGGGAGTGGGTTAAGAATTGTACCACACATACCCGCACGCAGAATCATGATTACCAGCTTGAATCCTCCAACTATAAATAGAGGACTCTCCTCTAGTTTACGGGAATGGCTCATCCACCATCTAAACACACCCTCTTTCTCTCCCTCTCTTTCCATTTAGTTTCTCTATTGTAATTCAGCTCGTCGAGTGCGACCTAATTGTAATCCACTATTAATATAATCACAGTGGATGCAGGGTTCACCTTAGAGCATCCAAACCACTTTAAAAATCGTTACCCGCTCCATCTCTCTTTTTGCACTTTCATATCACGTGTGATTTCTAAGTCCGCTTAGCACTTCACACGTGCGAATAGTTAGTGTCAAAATCAAGCATCAGCAGTTTGATGCTAGAAGAAAGACCATGA